TCCTAATGCCTTCGTTTATACTGAATTCATTCTGCCTGAAGTGTTGTTACCTTTCTTGTACTGGTCTAAACTGTACCTTTTGTTGAGTCCTGTTTTCCTTGTGACTCCCTTTCTGGTTGTCCTAAGCTTCAACCACTCTTGTCTGAATTTCTGGAGCATTTATTGTCTGTATCACTTATTTAGCACACAAAATACTACTTTGCTGTATCTGTGCACAAATGCTTGCTTCCTTTCTAGCAGTGCCTGTAATGGTTATGCATTAAGAGGTATTGAAGATTCTTTTCCCCTCTAATATTCAAGATAGAGATTCAAGAGACATCTCAACTTATATGTATATAAACAAACAAACAAACAAACAAAACAAACAAGTAGGATACATTGTTCCACTTTCCTGAGGTTGACTTGGGGTTTTTATATTAATATTTTTTTTGGAGCAACTACTCTTTGTCTCTATGCTAGACATTATACTAGATGTTGGAGACAGAACAAAACAGGAGAGCAGTCAGTTCTGCCTTCAAGAAGCACATATTCTGATGGGAACAAATAAACACAATGGCAATACTGTGGAGTATACATCACAGTAGATGCATAGGGAATATCAGAACACATAAGAACATGTAATACTGATGTGGGAGGCCATGGCAGTCATCCCAGAGAAAGGGATCCCAAAAACTGGAACACAGAGGATGAGTAGAAGTTGCTCAGGCAAAAGTGTGTGTGAGTATATGCAGGGGTGGGGTGGGGGTAGGGAACAGAAGACTACTCCAGGCAAAAGGAACATCATATGCAAGGTCCTGGAGACAAGCAAAACATGGTTCGTTGAACATGTGAAAGGAGTTTAATTTGGGTGGAACACAGAGTGCAAGGCATAGGAAAGCAAGAGATGAGGTTGGAGGGGTAATCAGGGCTTATGATAAGATAGGAAACACTTGGCAGGGCAGTGAGCAGCATGTGGGAGGCAGGATGACTAAATGAGATGCATTTTAGGGAGGCCACTTTGCCTGCAGTGTAGAGAATAGTCTGAGTGGGGAAGGGAGTGGAGGCAGGAAGGCCAGTTGGGTTGCTGCTGTGGTAGGTAATCATTGATGATGAGCTAGCCATAGCAGTGGTGGTAGGGATGAAAAAACTGGATAAATTTCAGGGATGCTGAAGGTAGAACTGTGAGGACTAAGTGTGGGCATGGGGAGAGAGAGAGAGAGTTAAATAGGTGTTCATGCCATTCCATAAGAAGAAAATCAGGAGAAAAATCTGGTAGGGAGGAGAAGATAATGTGTTAAGTGTCAGCCATGTTTAGCTTGGGATCCTCTACCTGGGAATACCCATGTGGAGATGTCATGGCAGCTGTGTATGTTGGCCTAAACCTCAGGAGAGAAATCTTGGTCAGAGATGTAACTTTGGGGCTCCAAAGTAAATTACTCCAAGTAAATGTGATAAGGAAGCCATGTAAGTCCAAGAAGACAATGTGTGTGTAGAGTTAAGTGTAGAATAACAAGTGTGTGTGAAGTAAGAAGATAAAGCCAGACTAAAATCCTAAACCCCAAAGAACAAAAATGTTTAAAAGATGAGCAAGAGGATCACACACACACACACACACACACACACACACACAAACTGAAAAGTGGTCTAGAGGTAGGAGGATATCTAAGAAACTATGGTGTTGCCTAAGTAGGTCAACAATGTTACATACAATATCAATAAATCCGGGCCTATTATTTATGAGAAAGGTTTTTTTTTAATCTTGGTGTGAATACTACAGTGCAGCAATTCTCAAACATTTGGTTGTACAAATTATTGTATACTCTTATAAATTACTGAGGACTCAAAAGAGCTGATTATGGCAGCTGATTATGTAGATTATGGCTACATCTACTGATATTAATAGAAATTAAAATAGAAAACTTTAAATGTATTAATTCATTAACAAATAATAAACCTATTTATTATTAGTTAATATGTTCATAGAAGTAACTATTTTAAAACAAAAAGCTTAGTGAGGAGAGTGGCATTATTTTACATTTTGGCAAATCTAATGTCAGGCTTTCTGGAAAACAGCTGGATTCTCATTTCTGGTTCTGCCTTCAATCTGTTTTGCTGTCATGCATTATGAGTAGCCTCTGGAAAATTCCACTGTATTATCATGAAAGAACAAGAGTGAAAAAAGTAGATAACATCTTAAATAATGATGAAAATAGTTTGTTTTGCAGACTTCCTCAGAGGGAACTGTAGAGATCTGGAGACTACACTTGTAGAATTAATGCCCCAGAGTGGGAGAGCTTGACCATGCTGTGAGCCTCACAAGCTGTTGATACTATATTCAAAAGTATGCTGGGTAGAGTCAACTAAGGCTTCAAGAGTTATTTTATGAGAGGTTGAGGTGGCCTGATTGATACTACCTTCCAAAGTTAGGAATGGACTTTAGAATGTTCATTCAACTGATTCATTCAACATGTATTTATTTAGCACATATTCTATGCCAGGAACTGTTTTAGAAGGAGAAGATATACCAATAAACAAAACAGACAAAAGCCTTGCCTTCATGAAGCCTCCCTTCTGCTGAAAAAGATTACACAATAAACAAAATAATAAAATATATAGTATACAGGAGCATGGTAAGTACTATGCAGAAGAATAATGCAAAGAGGTATAGGGATTTTTGGAAGGATTTGCAAATTTCAGTAGCAGGGACAGAGAAGGACTCATCTGAGCAAAGGCAGCATTTGAGCAAAGACCTGAAGGAGGCGAGAGAGCCATTTGGTTATCTGGTGGAAGAGCTTTTCTAGGTATTTGAAAAATTAGTTTTTAAAATTTAGTCTAACTTTAATTAATATGTATTCTTTTTTTTTTTTGTTTGTTTTTTAAAAATTTTTTTTTCAACGTTTATTTATTTTTGGGACAGAGAGAGACAGAGCATGAACGGGGGAGGGGCAGAGAGAGAGGGAGACACAGAATCTGAAACAGGCTCCAGGCTCTGAGCCATCAGCCCAGAGCCTGACGCGGGGCTCGAACTCACGGACCGCGAGATCGTGACCTGGCTGAAGTCGGACGCTTAACCGACTGCGCCACCCAGGCGCCCGTAATATGTATTCTTTAATCTGGCATCGATTGTATCTGGCAGTAGCTGCAAGCATAGAAAATAAGATCTGAGAACTAATGTTCATTCAGTGTCTGTCATGGACCAGGTATTATGCTAGGTATTATAGGTATTATATATGAAGTTTGGTACCTTCATTAATGTTTACAGTTTAGTGAAGAAGACAAAGCATGCACGTACAATTCCTGCAGTTGCGGTGTAGCAGTTCTTACGAGGAACAGTAGTTGGTTTGAAGTTGCACCAGCAGAGGCTTCTATGCACCTGATCTACCCGAAGTTTACATTTCTTACACTGAACTGATGTGTGAAGGGTACTACTCTTTTTTTTTTTTAATTTTTTTTTTTTCAATGATTTTTGGGACAGAGAGAGACAGAGCATGAACGGGCGAGGGGCAGAGAGAGAGGGAGACACAGAATCGGAAACAGGCTCCAGGCTCTGAGCCGATGGCCCAGAGCCCGATGCGGGGCTCGAACTCACGGACCGCGAAATCGTGACCTGGCTGAAGTCGGACGCTTAACCGACTGCGCCACCCAGGCGCCCCGGGTACTACTCTTTAATGTAGCAGAAAGTAAGCCAGGAAGTTAATAACACCTAATCGCACCTTTTACAGAGCACTTGAGTTTACAAAGCGTGTTCGCTAATTAATCCATTTAATCTTCATAACCATTTTCAGAAGTGGGTATTATTCTTAGTGTTATTGCCTTTGTGCGATGGGAAACAGGCTCGGAAGGCTAGATAAAGTGGTTATACGGTATATTGCGGGGTCTTTGAGCGCAATGGAAGCTCTGTGGTACAACTTAGTAAGTTTATTTAAAGTAGCACTGGGACGGACCTGTGGGCAGAAAGGGCTGTACTTTTGCTGTATGAACGTGGTGGTTATATCCTTAGTGCTCAGGGAGGAGGAAACGCGCAGGGAGTATTCGATCATCAACGTTTTTCTTTGCATTTCTACGTTTTTATTTATTTTTGGGACAGAGAGAGACAGAGCATGAATGGGGGAGGGGCAGAGAGAGAGAGAGACACAGAATCGGAAACAGGCTCCAAGCCATCAGCCCAAAGCCTGACGCGGGGCTCGAACTCACGGACCGCGAGATCGTGACCTGGCTGAAGTCGGACGCTTAACCGACTGCGCCACCCAGGCACCCCTGCATTTCTACTCATAAAACCACTTTCACAAGATTTCTCTGGTGATTATCATTCAGTTCCATGTTAAAAAAAATTTTTTTTTTTAACATTTATTTATTTTCAAGAGACAGAGTGTGAGCGGGGGAGGGGCAGAGAGGGAGACACAGGATCTGAAGCAGGCTCCAGGTTCCCAGCTGTCAGCGCAGAGCCCCGCAGGGCTCAAACCCACTGACCTTGAGATCATGACCTGAGCTGAAGTCTGACGCTTAACAGACTGAGCCACCCAGGCGCCTCTCACTCCGTTCTATATTAATAATTGGTAAGACAGACAGGCAGTCATGAAACCCTTTAAGAATGTAGCAACCAGCACATATTTGAACCTTATCAAAACTATGCAGGCTATAGGTCAGCCTTGTGGGCTAAAGTTGAACATATTTTTGCTTCTATCCCTCATCAGGTGGAGTTGGGGCTTAAGATAATCTGCCTTCAAACACAAAGCTTTTCCTACTGCAATGCAGCTGTTATGAGCAGCTGCTGAAATAAAAGAGCGTTGTGCTCTGCAACTCAGTCCTTTCCCAAGTACACCACTGAAGGAGGGTTAGATTAGGACCGGGGGTACTAACAGCCTACAAAGCAGGGCGAAATCACCCACGGCTCTTCCACTCCGCGCTTGCGCAGAGGAGGAATTAAACTCCCCGGAAAGACGCCTGGGACTCTGAGTTTGCGCAGACGCAGAGCTTCCTCAAGGCGGAACTGGGGCGACCCGGCCTCCTGCAACCTAAACACCCGGGGAGAAAGGAAGGTGGCAGACGTGCAGCGGTGCGCATGCGCGGGCACTTCTCTCGGGTGAAGGGTTGAGAGCCGGACCGGGCGGCCAGCTGGGCTGAGAGCGGAGTAGGGTCAGGATGGACGAGGACGTGCTGACCACCCTGAAGATCCTCATCATCGGCGAGAGCGGCGTGGGCAAGTCCAGGTGAGGCGAGCCTGCGGGCCGTGACGAGGGCAGCGGGGCTCTTGCTGCCTCCGTGGCCTCTCTCTGCTGGGCCGCGACGGGAACGGTAAAGGCGGCGGGCCAGGCTGGGGGCGGGCTCCGCGGGTTCTTCCCGGCCTCTTGGCCGCGCGGTCCTGCGGCCCCTGTCCTCCCGGCGCCCGCCCGGTTCTCGGCCTGTGCCAGGCCCGACTTGTCTGGATCGCTTCTCCTCGCGTCGCGCGGAATAAACAATTACGAGGGCCGCCGCTCGGCCGGCAGGTTTGCTGCCGACGAGCCTAGGGCGTGGCGGGCGGGTTTGGCCCGAGTGAGGCCGAGCGCGAAGCCGGGTCTCGGCCCCCGGGGTCCAGGCTCACTGTCATTCACCCCGCGAGTTGAGTTGGAACTTCAGCGCTTTGGTTTTTGTCAAGCTTTCTCTGAACACGCAGGGCTCTGCACGGGAAGTTTCGCGACGCCTTAGGTCACATTCCTGGCCTATTTTGGTGCACCCCGTTGCCGCTTCTCTGTTTCTTTATGAGTCAGCTGTGAAAGAACTCCTTGGTCTTCTGACCCCTTGAGTAATTCACCTTAGCCTAAGATACTAGTTGAAGCGGCGGACCACCCTTGAGAGTAACGTGTTATTGTTGCCTCGCGTTCTGCCACATCATCTGGAGGTAAAAGAACAAAGTAGTATTTTGTGTTTTCTTTCTTGACTTTTTCTTGAGGGACGGTGGTAACGGACGGTAAATTCGAGTTAAATGTCACTCAGGGAAGGCTCAGTGGGTGTTGTAAGCGGGGTGTGATTTCATTCAAGCCTTAGAACAGAGTTCCCCAAGGAATGTTATCCTTGCCATCTGATGATTATCATCATCACTGGCTTATATTCTAGGCTGTCTTGGTTTTTAAACAATATTCAAATTTCGGGAGCTGTAAATAATTCCATGGTTTAGCTGTGCCTCCTGCTAACCGTATCGTTCAAATCACTTCATAAAGTTTTCCTTTTGTTTAGATGCTTACGGGTTTGAAATTTTATTCTGTAATATGTTCTGCAATTGTATATATTTTTAAAGTATGGCAATGTCGTTTCTAATTTTCCTCATTTAATGTTCTCAGTGTATATTGGAGTGGGGGATTGGCACATAACGGGGAATAAATTTATGAATCTATGGGCTAGCAAAATAGTACGGTGTGTGTGTTATTTAAAGGTTTCAATATTTTTCATGATCACCATCTATTATATTTGAGGGTTAAAAAGTTAGTTAATATACTGAACACTGTCAAAAGGAATTCTATAGCCTCGTGACCTTTCTTTTTTTCATAAGATGTGACTCTCATTTAGGTTAAGGCATATGAAATTGCTGATTTTGAACTCAAGAATGGTTAAATGTCATTTTCTGCAGTTCAACCCAATACAAGTTTGGTTGGCCCTTTTTTTAAATGTATTGGAGGGATGACTATTTAGGCCCTGTTAAAATTTTCTGGAAGGTTAATTGGAGTGTTTACATAATTGAGGTTCTTCCTCTAGCATAAAATCTGTGAAATGGATTTACTGGTTTCCTTACTTCTCTCCCCTCAGACAAACAAACGTGTTTGGATCTAATCTCCAAGCTTTTCTAAGAACTTAATGGTGAATTTTCAGCTGCTTACTGCAAAATTTTAACACCTTTAACTTCCTCTTTCAAGAAAGGATTGTGTTTAGGGAGAAAGTTGGCATCTGTCTATATACCTATCTAGATGTAGATATACTAGACAAGCACTATTGGTGTATGTGATATACTATGGAAAACACCCTTGAACACTTTCTGGATGAGAATAAATGACTCTGCTAAAATAGAAGCCTATGCTTTTTAAGGTGAGTTAGTACAAAAACATTTGTCATGGATACAATCTTCAAGGGTTGTTCTGACCAGTAAGTTTCTATGATCTAGAGCTAGTAGAAGTGCAACATCACTTGTATTGTTGCATGACAAAGGACATCTTTTTTAAAAATTTAAATTAATTAATTAATTAAAAAAATTTTTAAATCTTTTTTTAAAATTTAAATTAATTAATTAATTTAAATCCAAGTTAGTTAACATATGGTGTAATAATAATTTCAGGAAAAGAATTTAATGATTCGTCACTTACTTGTAACACCCAGTACTCATCCCAACAAGTGTCCTCCTTAATGCCCCTTGCCCATTTAGTCCATCCCCCCAGCCAACATCCCTCCAAGCAACCCTCCGCTTGTTCTCTGTATTTAAGAGTCTCTTATGGTTTGTCTCCCTCTGTTTCTTAGTATTATTTTTGCTTCCTTTCCCTTATGTTCATCTGTTTTGTCACTACAAAGAATATCTTAACTGATTCAAATTAGTGGGTTATTTTTCCAGTTTATTTCAGACTGTTGGAGTATAATGAGCATGGGTGATAGCAGTCAGATCAGGATTATGAAACTGGTGCTGCCACTTGTGGGACCTTGTGTGTGATACTTGAACACTCTAGGCGTTCATCTCTTCATTTGAAAAATGAGGTTCGAATGGAAATCCCTCAAACCTTAACTGATGTTAAATGTATGAGATTCTTCTGTGGCTCACAGTGGGGAAGTAAAGAAGTAGCGAAGTGTTTCAGAGACTGGAATGGATTATAGAGACTTTGTATTATCTAAATTGCTGTCTCTCCTATCCCTCTTGTATCCCCATCCTTTTTGGCCAAGTTCATTTGTAAATTAGGAAAGGCAGACTAATTATGATCACACTGTTTATTGCAAACTTGGTCTCCTCTCAGTGATACAGTGGTAGTTACTCCTTCCATCTCTCGCTCTGCGTGGAGGGTATTTTGCTCCTTTAACTTTGAAAATATGAAAGCTTAAATATACATCCTTTAGAGCTTTGGTTCTTAATCATTTTCTGGTTGTGGATTCTTTAAAAAATCTAATGGAGAAATAGACTCTCTGCCTTGAAGGAAGCAGAGCATAGAGTTTAGAATACATTTCCAGCTAACAGTGTACCCCTGGCTAAGTTCTGCTTATGTTAAAATGTGTTGCTTTGTACCATATCGGTTCCCTGTCCTTCCTGACAAAGTACCATTAATGGCAAGTGTTATTGTAAGGATTAGCAATTGTGTAAGAAGAACCGCTGGCTCAAGTGTGTGGCATATTGTTGATGTTCAATAAATCATAGCCAATACTGTTGTTATTATTGTATTGTTCTGGTGTTATGATTGCTACTACTACTCTACAAGGTTCTTATGTTTTTGTAATAATATTTCTTTGGTGACTGAGTATGGATACATACCTTTTCCATTCTAAAATTATGAGTAACTAAATTTTTAGTGAAATCTTCACTTTTATTAACTTAAAATTTAATGTTGGGGAGAGAAGATTTTTACAAGTGCAGCCTTTTAAGATCCTTGTTAGTGCTGTCACCTAACTCATGTTGGAAGTAAAAACCGTACAGTCAAGAGGGTTCAATGTTAAGTAGAAAAATCTACAATTTGTTTCACTTTTGTGGTGCTGGTTTTATGGTAAACACAAGAAGGCAAAACCAAGAAAAGGAGAGTTAATCCCTTAACACCAGATTTTGAATACCAAAAGGCCATTATGTGTTGCAATATACTCTGGACAAAAAAAAAAAAAAAAAATCTCTAGCAGCAATAATTACAACCTGTAGAAATATATATGTGTGTGTGTATATATATATATATATATAATTTTTTTTTTTCAGTTCAAACATCTGATAGCTATTTCCTTGATCTTACTAATGCATACAGGTGAATAGAACAATCTAGTCCTATTGTTGGAGATGATGTGAGGGAGGATTGATTAATTTTATAAATCCAGGGCTTTAAGAAAAGCTTAGATTTTATTTTTGAAGAGCTTTTTAATAACTGGCACTTTACCTTACATTAAATAAGTAATTCTGGGAGATATATAATCTTAGAGTACTCCTAATGGTGTCTTTTGCTGTTATTTCATCTCTTCCCTTCTAGTTTCTTTACTGTTTCCTGGATTTAGTCCTTATCTCTCACCATAACCATGGCAGTTGTCTTCTGTTAATTTTCTTGCCTTTTTTTTCCTGTCATTAACTTTTCTCTACATTTTCAAAATGTAAGAGCATTTCTTGCCATTTTTTTTTTTTAAGCTTTCAGTAGCTCCCTGTGGCCTACTTGATTCCATACACCCTACTTAGCATTTGCCAGAATATAGTTATTCTGTCTCTGGTATGATCTGTCTACCCTCACTTTTTGCTAGATCTTTTCTTCCCACTTAGGTAGTAGTCCTACTACTTGTTACAAAATGATAGATTTTCTCACCTGTATGATTTTACAGGTGAGAATTCAGAGTGGATTACACATCAGACTTAAAACATTAATTTGTTGTATTCCAAAAGACTTATTTTCCCCCCTTTTGTCCATGTCACAGTATAATGTTTTTGCCGATACTATTTTCTCACAAGGACGTACCAGTACAGTTCAAAACCAAAACCAAAACACAGCCCAAATCTTTTCACACTTGGGAATTATGTAGGGGAGCATGGGGACTATATTAAGTAAACTCTTTTGCTCTTGGGATTCTTTTATTGCCTTTTCAATAATTTAATTATTGGAATTAAATTATTATAATAAATAATTAAATTATTTTCAATAATTTAATATACCTGTATTGAAGCAGTATTTATATACCTGCACTGAGGCAGTATTTGTGGGAGCAGACCAACGTCAGCGATTCTTATTTGTGTCTAATTTGTAACAAAATGTAACACATGGTTAAGAAAAAAGAGAAATTTCTAATCTGTCTTTTTAACATCTCTTTTAGCCTGCTCTTGAGGTTCACAGATGATACTTTTGATCCAGAACTTGCAGCAACGATAGGTAAGCCTGTATTTAAAAATTCAATAGAGGGGCGCCTGGGTGGCTCAGTCAATTAAGCATCCGACTTGGGCTCAGGTCATGATCTCACGGTTTGTGGGTTCGAGCCCTGGGTCAGGCTCTGCTGACAGCTCAGAGCCTGGAGCCTGCTTCTGATTCTGTGTCTCTCTCTCTCTCTGCCCTTCCCCTGCTCACACGCTCTCTCTCTCTGTCTCTCAAAAATAAATAAATGTAAAAAATTAAAAAAAATTAAATTAAATTAAAAAAATTCAATAGAAATGCCACATATTTTCTTGCCTTCAGTCTGTTTTATCTGATTCTTTCTATCCTTCATCTCACCACCCCATTGCTTCCATGTCTGTTGCTTTCATGTCTTCTTTATCTTTCAAGGCTCAACTTGGTTTCATTAAATTTCTGGAGCCTTTGTAGATCTCGCCAGGCAAAACTAACTTTATTTGTTGGTTCATGGCACTTTGTTTTATCACTGTGGACATTATGATTATCTGTACACACATTTCTTTCTTGTACTATGCATTGTCTTTTATTTAGCAGCATATAATTATCTGAATTTTATTGTATGCCAGGCATTGTCCTGAGAGGTTGGGTTATAATGATGAATAATGCAGACTTGGTGTCTATCATCATGGACCTAACAGTATCACCTACTAGTAGACTGTGTTGCCTTTTTAGCGTTTGCTACAGTATCCTGCATATGTTCTGAACTCAACAGGTTTATTGATACTAGTTGTTAAAGATTGTTAGAAGCAGTAATACCTAAGTGGCTTTTTAAAATGAAATTTAGATTGCCTGAAAGTGGTTTGCTACACTAGCTTACTAGAATACATGAGAAAATAGAGCTAAATATTTTGGTGTGTCACAGGTTTAGGGAGTAGATGACAATAGAAAAGTATCAAGAGACAGCGTGCAGTATGTGAAAGAGCTGAGTCAGAGCGGGATAGTAGTCTTGGCTCTGCCTTGAACCAGTTGTCTAGATTTTGAGCAAGTCCTTTAACTTCACTGTTATCAGAGAGATAATACATTTTTCTTACAGCTCTAAAATTTCATGATCTGATGAGCAGAATGTAGTAAATGCGATCCTAGCATTATTATTAGGGAAAATGAGTTTCTCTTAACTGGCTTTATTTGTTTTCATTTATTGTGTGTGTAGATTTATTTTTGTTTCCTTTTTTTTCAAATGTTAAATAATTTCATACTTAGAGAAAGGTTATAAAAATAGTACAAGAATTTTTGCATAGCCCCAAACATTAATATTTATGCTTTAAACGTATGCTTTATCATTCTTCCTTTACATACACATACCAGTATTCTTGGGTTTTTTTTTGTTTTTTTTGTTTTTTTAATTGAGACTAAAACTGGAGACATGATTAACCTCTAAATACTCTGGTGTGTATTTCCTAAATGAAGATGCAGACAATTCTACTCTATGTAGACAGATTTCATTAATTGGCTACATTTCTAATGTCTTATTTAGAAAAAAAAAAAGAAAAAACTATGTTTTGTTTCTGGTCCAGGATCCAGTCCAGGATCACACACAATTTAGTTGTCATTTCTCTCCAGTTTTTCTTTGTCTTTCATGGCTTTGACATTTTTGGAGTTCTTACAGGTCACTTACATTGTAGAATATCCTTCAATTGCATTTGTCCAAAGTATCCTCATGGTTAGATTCAGGTTATGCCTTTTTGACAGGAATTCTTCAAAGTGTTTCTCAGAGCATGGTGGATATCTGTACCATTCCTGTGATGGGATTTAGGTTACTTAAAGTGACATATGCCAAATTTCTTTACTATGAAGTGTCATTCTGTCATTCTAACTGTGGTGGTTATCAAACGGTGATTTTTCAAGTCCCATCATTCCATCTACATTTCTTATTTACAATTCTGTAAGGAGGAGGTCTCTTTTTTGTTTCTTTCTATCAATATGCACTCACAGTGCCTCTAAATGTTTAGTCAGCTATACCAAGCATTACTTAGCTTTTGTGTGGCATATTAGCATTTACCGATTTACTTTTATGTGTGTGAAAAGAAGTCATTTAAAACACTAGTAATTTAGGGACACCTGGGTGGCTTAGTCGGTTAAGCATCGAGCCTTGGCTCAGGTCATGACCTCATGGTTCATGAGTTCGAGCCCCGC